CCGCGTCCGAGTGGAGAGAAAAATTAAAAGTCCTACGTACGTCTCGCGACGTGCAAAGGGTTAACGAAGAGTCGGGCGATGATCGAGGAGGGGATGGAAAAAAGTGAATTCTTTTTCGTCCGACCGACTACAGCTCCTTTCCGTTACGTGCCATCAGGTGTGACGCGACCCGTTTTCAAATTCTTTACGTTTCCGCTTTCGTTATCTCTCCCTTTTCTCTTTCCCTGCGCGCCACCCGAAAACAATTTTCTCTCGTCGCGAGTTAAAAATACGTTCGTAATTTTCCGGAAGCACGATCCTCCTCCTCCGCGTTGCGTCGTAATTTTTATGTAATATTCGAAGGAACTTTGAAAAGGAAATTTTCAAAGTCATTTTCCATTCGCTGTTATTCGGAGCCGCGATAAACTTTCGTATCTTTCCATTTTAAAATCATATCATCCGCGACGCGAGTTCATAGAACAACGAAATCTACGAAATAAAGTTCCCTTTTCGATAGATTTATCCGCGCGTGTTACACGCGTCGATACATCGACAAGCTGTCAAAAGCGGCGCGGCGTTTTGTAAAAAAAAAAAAAAAAAAAAAAAAAATATACGACGAAACGTGGCGGTGGATTTCATCCGACCACTTTGTCCATTCTACGCGCGAGTCGAATATTAAAAAACGTAAAAAGGAAAAAATCGAGGAAGAAAAGGAAGGGAAAGGGAGGGGGGGGGGAAATAGGCCCGACGAACGAGAGACGATAAAGGGGATCGATATCGGTCGGTTTTTCAATTGTTTAATCCGCCCGAGCCGTTCTCGGTGTTTATCGATTTTCGAAGAATCGGCTCTTATTATTCGAGGACAAAACTCGATGGCGAATTCGCCCCAACAGGGTGTTAACACGGAATACCGCCGCCCCTTTTCGATTATCCTCGCTTTGGCCAAGTTTCCGTATCTTGGGACGGGAGAATCGAAGGCCGATCGGCCGATAAAACTTTGGGGAATTATTTAAATGGCTTCGATTCGCCGTAGAGTTGCGCGGAGTAATCGGAGCAGTCGATCCTCCCCCCCTCCGCGAGATTCAATCATGCGACCTCGCCTCGTTCTCGAATTACTTTCGAGGAACGACCAATCTTCCTTCTATTAAACGGCCGATCGATTTTACAATTTTGTTGCATCCACGTTCTTGCTCGGGATTAAACTTTAAAACGTGCGAAATTTGCCAATCGGTTTCTTCCTCCTTTGTGATCGTAAACGAGTTCGAACGAGAAGCTTTGGAGGAGAGATACTCGAGATTAATCGAATCGGAGGGATGGATGGTTCGCCGTGTTATTATACCTTTTATCGTTTCTATCCATCGATCGTTGCTCGATAAGATAAGAGGACTGTAAACTTGTGTACGAACGAGTCGAGTGCGACCTTCGAAACTCGTTTTAAGAAAGGATCTTTACAACGATATATATATATATATATACATAATCGAAGATGATAATTTTGAAATCGTATCCTTGGAATGAAGACTTAATAGATGTTAAAGCGAAGAAATTAAGATGAAAAATATCCTCGACTCTAAGGATACATTACTTATTAAGGCACGAAAAAGAATCGATCCTGCTTATAGATGTTCTCAAGGCAAGTCGGTGTTCGAGTTAATAGGGATCTGAGGTGCGCGCCAGTTCGGAAGAGAATGGCTGTAAGGTGGGCCACGGGCGCAAAGCGTCGCGCTAATAGGCCTGCCAGTCCAACTGCTGTCGCAGTTCTCTTGTTCCGTTAATCGTTGCGGCCGCTTTGTAATTTGCGGTTCGAATAGCATCGAAGAGGCGATGCTCGATACGAGCGAAGCTCTTTCGTTTCGGAAAGAGGTCAAAGCAGGCTACGCTACGAAGCGATTTCTTCCAAGCGAAATCGGCCCGGATGTTTTCCATTATTAATTAACCGTTTTCACTCGTTCGTAAAATTTGAATAAATTCGCGCGATCGGGGTTTTTCTACGTAGCGTTTAGCTACGAACGTGTAATGGATCGGTATTCCGGGTCATCTGTGATAGGAATGTGATTGCATCGATAAAAAGCTTCCTTTCGGCGAATTGCGTAAACGAAAATAATGGCAAAGGTCGCATTTTCCACCTAGCTAACGATCGTTAATCACGAACGATCTTGCAACGACACGCTTCTTGTCGGAATTTATTATTATTCCGCGTTCAACTTGACCTTAATAAATATTCATACATCGATTATACACCGACGGCCAAATTTTTGTCGAAAGAATTTAAAATTCTTTACGGATTTCTCTCTGTTTTTCGCTGTTATATTAAAAAACAATCGATGGGCGATCAATTAAGCTAGCTCGACGCGTTTGATCCGGAGCAGTCGTTCGGTCGGTTCACATCTATACACCTTCCTACCAAAGTAGAAATCAATATTTTGAAACGAAACAATTCAGTTTCTACGTAAAATACTCTGCCCGTCCAACCTCGAACGTACAAATTCGTAATGCAAATTTACAAAGAAGCGTACGATGTTATTAATATTTCTTTTTTTTTTCTTTTTTTTTTCTAACGTTTAAATTAACATCAGCGTTACGTAGCGGAATTTCAGGATTGTACGAGAAGATGGCACGATTAGGTCAGCTATCTAGTTCAAATTTTGCGCGTAATTAACACATACCACGTATGATATTTTGGCACGAAATTTACATATACATACATATACATATATATATATATATATAAAGAAAAATCTCTCTCGATTCAACAAAATTACAATAATTAACCATCTTACGTACTTAACCGTGAACAAAATAAAATAAAACAAAGAAAAACGTCGGCCAAGCCCGCGAAATGAGAGGCTCTCCTTGTCTCGCGCGCGTCCGCTCAATGGCTGGAGAGCGAGAGGGAGAGAGGAGAAAATGGTGAAAAGCTTGAGCGGAGAGGCGCGTCCGAGTGGAAGGCACGATCGGGAACGGCGATCCATTCTCTCCCTCTCGGTTTCTTTCTCGTCTCACTCTCACCGGCTCAGCCGAGAATCGGGGAATGTCCTCGTGGCGAGAGCGGTCGTCAGTGTTCGGTAGACCTCCGTCTGGAACCTAGCTGTGTTCACAGGAAACGGCTCGCTCGCGTGTCTCTCGGTGTCACGTGTAAACGCGAGGCGGAAACACGCCGTGCCCGATGACGATCCCGAACGTAGACGAGGGATCACGGTGATCGCGATTCGACTCGCTTCCTCTGTCTTGTCGGTGGTACCATACAGAAGGTGTGCCATATAGAACGCTTGTTCGCTCGGTGTGATGAAACAGGATTGGGACTGGGCTCGCTCGCTTTTGCGTCGTCGTCTCGATGCGTCGTCACAGGTGACGATCCTCGATGACCCAATCATTTTCCCGTTATTCCTCTCTGTCTTCCACTTTGTTCTTGCAAAAGTATAATTTCTATCGCTTTTTGAAATCTTGAACGCGAGTTTATCGGTTGAGAAAAGAGAGACCATGTTTGTCCACCGTTTTGGAAAAGCAAGATCGATGGAACGACGAGAAAGGCAGGTTGTTAAACGCGTACGAGCAATTGATGGGAGGCATTGTATCGTTGATAGTTGGCTCGTTCGTTGTTAAACGAGGCATAACTCTTTCACCCGCGATCCCGATGACACTGCATCGGCGCTGTAGAAAGCCACGGTGTGGTTGGCGGCGTGATGCGACCGCGAAAGGAAATTGCTCGAAATGACGGTGGGGGTGAAAATCTCTCGAGTGCGATTTGCGCGCAATTTAATCGAACGATTCAACTGCATTAGACGCGGCCGGGGAGGGTGCGATCTGTGCCTGGCTGTAATCAGGAGGAAATAATTTGTTTGGTCAAGCACCAGTTACGCGAAATCTGATTGGTTACAGATAATCGATCGGTTTACGTAGCGCGAGGAGGAATTAGGGTCCGTTTGCCGGTTATCATTGCTAATCGTTCGACCGTGTTCACTTCACGGGAACCCGAATTTTGATTTTCATCGTATATTTACTCACCCGTTTCAAACGAATATTTCCCCGGAAAATATGAAATCGAAATTAATTCGTTTCAACGAATGTTTAATTGTCCGGTAATCGATCGATAACCTCTCGTTCGCTCGTTCGATATTTTCAATTACGTAGTAGTTTTCCTACGTTAAATTCGTTATTTCGATTTAGGTAGTATCGAGAAATCGAGAGATTCTTTTGATAACCAATTAAAAATATGTTGTATAAGATAGGCGTGAAATTCGGATATCGATTAAACATTTTTCACGTAACTCGTTTATTCGGAATTTTCATCCGCGGTAAAAAAGCATAAAGCAAGAATTTGAGCAATCTTTCTTTGATTAATCGATAAAAGTTGCACGAGAATATTCTCGTACGAAATGTTTCGTTTCCGGTTCGAGTCACCGGTTTTTCGCGTTCGCCTTTAAGATTCGAGCCAACAAAAATCGGCGACTTTGTCGGTTCGCGACGGGAGTGGCTGGCACGACGTTACACGACGGGAACGTTTCGCGAGGAGGGAACGAGTGAAAAGAGCGGAAAGCTCGGCAAGGATGAAGAGACTTCGATCCCTCTTTGATACCAGGATTTCGCCCCTACTTTTGCATGCGGTTTAAATTCACGAAAATCTTCTTTGGCGATTCCTTCCACGACACCGGAGAGCATGCTCGAATCGCTCGATTTCCAATTTTTTTCTTCCATCGAAGAACGTCGAAGAATTTCAAAAAAAAAAAAAACTCTAATGATTCGACCGTTAAACACCTTCAATTCGATAATTTTTATCTTTAGAATTTTAAATTTTTAAACTCCGTGAGAATTCTCTTGTTAACGAGTATTAAAAATAATCATTTTACGTTAAATGAACTTTGCACAAGACGCGACGTTATTTTTATCGTAATTAAATTTTCGCGGCATGCGATATTAGCCGCGCCCTCTAGCGGTTAATCGATAATCGATTCTGACATTAGATCGTGCGCGGCAGTCGTGCGCCCGGTACTGTAACGTTGTCGTGTTCTTTTTGTACGAATCGTCGTTAACTCTTCATTTTTCAGTTTCAAACCATTGAAATACTTCCAATTATCGCAGTGTCTTAATCTTGAGTGTAGTAATTCGTTCTTTTCGAATCGTGTGAACCTCGGGCGAAGCTTTCAATCGCGTAAATGCTCTTCGCGATTCTTTCTCGAGTGTCGATACACGGTGTTCTAATGGTGTGTTCTAGCTGAAACAAGTGTTGCGGGGAGTCGACAAATTTCAAGTGACATCGCTAGTGCCGCGAAACGATCTTACGCGTTATATGCCGTGCAATCGAAACCAAAGTTAAGGACGAGACGAAGAACGAGGAGAGGAGAAGAGAAAGACACCGAGGGAGCAACTCCTTTAACCAGTTCGAAAAAACGGTGAGTCGGCGAAATAAAGTTTAATAGCTTTTACGGTCGTTACTTTTGACGCATAATTATCCTATAGTTTAATAGTTTTCGAAGCGATAACTTTGTCGCAAAATCGCGAGGTAAAAGATCGATAGAAATTGGTAGGAAATGGCAGAAAATGGCGGGAAATGGCGGGAATATGGTGGGAATATGGTGGGAATATGGCGGAACATTACGTGACGTCACGATAACATTTATCGATTTCGCAACGATAATCGATAATCGATAGAGATTGGCGAATACATAAATCGAGACGAAATTTTATAAGACGTAAATGCTTATTTATTAATAATCATTAATACGATCTATTTTCAAGCGATGATATTCGGTCGTGATATTAGATTTTTCTTAAAAAATTTCGAGGCTATCGCGACATCTATGAATCGTAAACTATATTTCACGTACACGTGCGCAATGTTTTCGCGTTTTCTATATATTTTCTTTTCTTTGTATTCTTGATTATTTCTTAATTTTCTGATTAATTTTTTAGAATCGTAAAAAAATAAAAAGAAAAAATCTTTAATGCTTAAAACTTCGCATTATATATATGCATATATATACATAGGGAAACGGGGATCATCGTGTAGGAGGTTATGTTCGAGGTTATGTTCATACATATTTTCGAAAGAAACACGTTTCTATCCTTTTTTGATAAAGATAAAAGTGAAAAATTAGTTTTTGGAGATTTCATTTAACGAAATTACGAATTTTAAGTGTATATTTCTTACGTGTACAAAAATTTAATTTCTGTCCACGACAAAATATATTTAACGGACAAGACAGGGTAAGTTTTGACATAATCGCGGACGATAAACAGCTTCGCGAAGAGTTAACGAGTAATTAAATAAGCGGAAAATTATTTCCGTTCGCCCGAAGATAACTTTTTGCCAGGATATACCCGATAATTTTGATATACGAACGGTACGAGACGACACTAATTCTCGCGATAAAATTAACCAGAAAATGTTTTGGATATCCGATAATAGATGGTTCGTGGAGAAATTTTGTTTCGTTGAAAATAATCTTTACATTTTGAAATTTTTCACGTTTTTCCTAACGAAGATTACCGCGGGAGGAGGGTCAAGGATGGAGGTAGACAAAGCAACGAACGAATTTACCGAACATTTGCCTGCTAATTCACCTATGCGAACAGTGTAATCCGGTTATATTGTTGAAACCACAGGAATGTGCGGCTGCGTACCTGTGCGGTTAATAGAACCTCTCCTATTCTCCGTCTATTCGCGCGTATACACGCGTCCCCTGGTGTATTTACACGTGCGCGATTTGGTAGGCGCGCGCGCGCGCGTGCGTCGCTTGGCCGGTATGCATGGCTCGACCGCGAACAAAAGGGTGAGAAAGAAAGGAACTGGGTCAATGTGATTTCGCGAACTCTTTCCATACCCGCGATCGCAATTTAACTTGCACGACCGCGTGTTGTTCGTTGTGTTTTACGAACCTCCGTTGCCCCATTTCGCCCCTTCCTCCTCCACTCGACATCCCGTTTAAGTGAAAGAACAACCTTTTAATGGGTGTAATCGGGCCGATTTTCACAGACAAAGGAATTCCACGATGAAATTTGCGCTCACCTGCGAATAGTTTTCTTCGAGAGGAAACGTTGCTCCTGTTGCTCGAGTATTCGATATCGGCAAAGGTGTACTGTTTTACCGGTTTGATCACTTTCACTCGGTGCTAATATATTTTGCTCGTTACTCGAGCAACGCTTGGGAAACAAATTTATCCACGCATCGGTCCTAACACGATTTCAATACGATCTCTCTATTCTACACTCTTTTGCGTCATTCGATAACAATAATCGTCGGACGTCGTTCGCCCGGATGAGAATAGAGAAAAACCAGGAACAAGGTGGGACGAAATTCCGTGTCTCGATTATCGATTCCACACCCCCCTCGCTACGTGTCCCGCAATCGAATTGGCCGGTTTGTCGGGGCTTGGCGAACGTTTGCCCGCCAATTTACTTAGGCACGACGTGCGTGAACCTGCGACAACCTCGTTAACGTTATCGGGTACACGGTAACGTGCAAATGCGCCGCGATTATCGCCCCGTGCAAATTACGCTCATCCCATAGATTAAAATTTTCCCGTTTCACGCGACGTATTTCGCGGAATTAAAGAAAGAATCGAGTCCACGGATTTTATTCGCAACTTAATTGCTCTTGATAATGAAAAATAGGGATTTTTGTTAGGGGATAGATAGAGAGGGATATAAATAGTTGAAACAACTTGGTAACTACTAATCAAATACGAGTTGAAGACTATCGAAATAGAAAGTCAAATATTTGGGTGGGAAAAAATAAAAGAGAAATCTTGGAATAAACGTTGAATTAGCAGAAACTGATTATCCAACGCGTACTTATCTCCATCAAGAACCTCTTAGTCCTTCTTATCGTTATTAAGAGCTTTTCGCGAAGTGAAAATAGAAAAGAAAATAGAGAAAGTCTGCACGGTGTCATCCTCCTCCCGGAAGTTTTGAAGAGCATACGCGCGATTCGAAGAAGCTCGACAGAAAGACAAGAGAGAAATCGTAGAAAACCGTGATCGATCGAAGCGCGATTAATTAAGACGACTAAGTTCGTTTGCACATCTCGTTACATCTTCCAACGTAACGCGAAAAGACGTTTTGCAGTGCTCAATTATCGCTCCATCGTAAATTGGAATGCAATTTTAGACGTCGCATAAGTATGTTGCGAGTTGGGAGCAGTAGACTGGCACGATTGTTAATTTTCGGGTTGGACGTCGTATCGCGATTATCCGAGGGTGCAAATTGCCTCTCTTGGAACGAACTTGAGAGTTACCTGGACGTCTTAATGGGGTTGGCTCGTACTCGTCGCGGATTTAAACAACCTCCGCTCGGGAACCAACTTAACTTCCAGTTAACCGCGAATCTCTCGTTTCCTTTTCCTCGAGGGTTGAAACTCTCGTTTCGATCGAAATTAAGAAAACTCTCCGGTTTAAATTCGTAAACATTTTCCTACTACTTTCGTAGAAGACTACTCTTATCGATACATCGTCGCCAAGAGATATTCTTTCTTCTAGCATTTGTCCTCGAACATCCCATTTTGTCGAATAGTTATTTTACGTTATTCACGGGCGACAGAATGCGACGATACGTATTTTAAAGACTGGGAAGAAAAAAGGAACGAAGATTGAAATATTTCACGCGTAAAAATGAATTGTTCCAGGATTAAATTGCATTTTTCACAGCTTCCAAAATCGGTATTTATTACGTTCCGCGCATATCGTATCGCGTATCCTTCTCTCGGTATCCGCGATAATAAATCGAATCTCGGCTCGATTGTTTCCCGTTGTTAAATATTTACAAAGAACCCGTGTATTTTTTTTTTTTCCCTGCAATTTGTTCCACGGTAAACAGAATCGGCGAGCGTACGGTCATCGAAATTGCATAAATTTTATTATCAATTGACCAATTCTAGCGCTTTTCCCCCCGTACGGTATTATCGACGTCCGATCGAACGAGCATCGATCGTGATTCCGGTGTAATTCGTTTTGTATAAAAACAGAGTCGCTCGATAATTTTTTTCTTTTTTCCCGCGAATTTTGTTTCGGCAATTTCGGCTGTGAAATACTCGATTTCGATACTCGTTCGACGATGATCGATTCGACGCGAGAATTTATATTCCGCAGGGATTATTATTCCGTATGGTTTGTAGCGGGTAAATCTGCAGGGGTGAATTGGTTCGAATAAGTTGCTAGATAGACTAGAATACCGGTTGTTTAGATATTATCGATTATTGGATATTTGATTCGATTAAATCCGAGCATCGATTCATTCGTCCCCGATTATGTATAATCGATATAACTTTTGTTCGTATAATATTCTTTTATGCGATATTATACAATTATACTCGAATTATTGGTATCAGCTTATCCTTTATTGATGTAATCAAGGGTAATCAAGATATTGCATAAATGGTTTAAATAAATATGGGAATATTAGATGGTTAAAAGTTAATTCCCTCATTCAGGTGGCGTTAAAATTCAATTGTAAATTGTATAGATGAATAAAGAATAAAAAAAAATCGTACCGATATATCGCCCAAGTTGGAGCAAAATTCGCAGGGGGGGGGGACCCTTATTTGCATACCGTCTTACGTCACCCAATCTGGCGCGACGAATGCTATAATTCTCGTAACCGCGACACTCGTCCCCCTTCTAACAACGGAGACGGGAAACGGTTGGAAACTCGGGCGAAATGACTCGGGAAGTGCTAAACCGCGAAACGTCGCGAAATAATTGTCGTTGCGGATTCGTCCTCGCACCCGTCAATTACATCGCGATCCACCAACAATTCCGCCATCCTTTTTCCTCTTTCGTCTGTCCTCGCGTCTATTAATCTATCTTTAACAAGAAGAGTGTTCGAAATTTCCACAATTCGTCACAAACAGCGTTTCCGTGGAGAGCAGATAATTCCCTCGTTCGAATTTATACGATATTTTTTCCCGTGGAATATACCAATATATTTAAGTCGAAATTTCAAATAAAACGAGAGAAGCGAAGTACGTTAAACAAAACGGGAAAAATTTGTCGCTTTATTTCCGTCGATTCTTGTGGCCGATCGACGGTCGACGCGTATCGCGAATCGGTTAAAAATCGATGGCATTGCGCTCGAACAAGTTTGACCGTTGGTCAGATTGTTCGGGCAACATTCCAATCTTTTCGAAACTAATTACAGTCGCGGAAATTCATATTGATCTCGGCCCCCGATTAATTAAATAACGCGATCGCTAATTTTCTACCTCGAGGCTCCATCGTCGCGATACCGATATGAAATAATAATTTCGAAATTTTCTCACAACGACAGCCGGTAATCTCGATCGTAATATTTCCATTTCGTTGTTGCGGGCCGGCTATTCATTTCGCGTTACATACATTTCCAATAATTAAACTTCTCATTATCCCCTTCTTTCCGCTTCATTTTCGAAGCGTTGTGT